TGCCTCCTCCCCACAATTTAATGCCGCCACCACCATATTTCACCTGGGATTGGTGTGTTTGTATTTGGTGGGGAACGTGCAGAGTTAGATTCTCCACGACACAGCATTTTGCATCTTGGACAAAAAGTTCAATTTTGGTCTTATCCAACCAGGAAATCTCTCTTCACATGTTTCCTGTTTGTCTGAAATAATATTGTTTTAACTGAGAGTTCTTTCAGTAGTGTCCTTCTTTTTGCCACTATTGACTAAAACCCAGATTTACTGGTAGTTGTTAACTAGTGGTTATGTTCAGCTCCTGCAGAGCCTCCATGAGCCTCTTGGCTGCTTTTCTAATTAATGTTCTCCCTGCCCAGTCTGTCAGTTTTGATGGACAGAAATGAATTTGTGCTACACTTTTTCCCTCTTTTGGACTGAACCGTGCTCTTTCAGACGTTCGAATCTATGTCCCCTAAACTTGATATAAATGTCTTCAGAACTTTATTCCTGCCCTGTTTACTTTGCTTTTCAAGATACTGTTTATTCTCTATTATTCTCTAACAAACCTCCGATGTCTTCATAAAACAGCTGGATTCATACCGAGATTAAATGAGACGACGATAGATTGTTAGGCCTGTCACAATAGCACGTTTTCCAGGCGATTAATTGCCCGAGTAATTATCGCAATAAAGGATAATGTTGTTTTGAGAAATGGTTCAAGTAACAATTTCATTGGTGCATAATAATGCAAGTTCAGCTTATAAAAACAGCAGTAAACATTAATTTTGTAAGGAACCATTAACACTGGAATTGGACGATATTTTAAATATCCAAATTAAAACGCAACAACAACAAAACCAATAATGAAAACGGGAATAAAAACCACACACAACCAGAATTATAAATAAAATAGACTCTGATGTTTCTAAACAAAATTGTCCTTCATAAAATGATAATCGGAATGGAAATTTTCAAGCTCATTTCAATTTATTATGCAATTAATTAATTACTTACCTTTTACAACAGGCTGACAGACTAGTGTTACTTTGTGTATATGTCAGTAGTAATATTTGCATCCAATATCTAAAGTGTTTAACACTACCTCTTTCACAATCTGACAATCTGGGCTTTATTACAGGTTTCACATGGGACTCAGATTTGTACACAGCTTTTTATGAGGCACCATAAGCTGCTGCAGTGTAGCTATCTAAACAAAAGCCTGTGTAAAAAGGAGAAGTGACACAAAATGTGCCATCAGTAGACCTTGTTTCACAATAAATCTTTTCCTGACTCTTGCTTTCTTCGCTTTCGTCCTTTGCTTTGCTGTTTGTGTACAGAGCAGCTCTGCAGCCTCTCGCTCATAATGAGCCACACATTCACTTAAGTGCAGGAGAATAAAGCTGTCTCTTCTTTTATTGTCTCTCAGGGGGATCGTCTCATCCGCTCAGCCAGCCCCACAAAAGAGGTTTCTGCCAAGAACCCGGCCAGCAACCCCTCAACGCCCCACTCCGCTCCGGTGCCGTCAAAGGCCGCTTCAACGTCACCCAAAACCATTTTCCCCTATCCCTCCCATCAGAATGCCTCGCCGAAGTCCCCCCATCGCCTCAGCTTCAGTGGAATCTTCCGGTCCAATTCCACGTCGACGAGCATCAAAATTTTCTCCAGAACCAGGAGAGGTAAGTGGATAAGTCACGGTGGCAACGAAGGCTCCGCTTGTGCGTTAAATGACGCGTTCTTATCGTTATAACTCTGAAAGCAAAACACTGATTTCATGAAGGAGAAAGAGCGGCGAAAAGGAAGTTCGACTCAAGTGGGGAAACTTTTGTCACATTATTTGGGTTTCCTGCACTAGTTAAAGCCACATCCAGGTCCCTGTGCTGCTTGAGATTGAGGTTACACAGAACATGTCTGCCTTCGTCTGCTCTGCACTGCTCGACGTTGTGGCGCAGACTTGAAAGAAGAAACGTCCACCTCGAAGAAGAAGAAGAAGAAAACCACTTGTTTTCGCTGTGGTGCTCTGCAGCTAAGCAATCTCATGACGGACAACCTGCAGAGAGGTTTTCCGCGTTATTGTCGTCAACAGTTTTTCTCTAGGAAAAAGGAGTCGGTTGTCTTTGCTGTTTGAAGGCCAGTTTGTTTTATGAAGTTTGGCATCTGAACCATTGGAGGCCTGCCAAAGTGCATTCACCAGCTACTACTGCAGCTCATTAGGGCATAATCAAAAAGCAGGGAGAAATGAGACCGAGTAGGTAGAACAAGGCCCCGCTTTATGAAGCACAGACCTAACTGGCAGACTTTAAGCTTTCGTGTCTCCATGCATTTGCGGGTTTATCGTTGCATAACAGTTTAAAGCCTTGTCTTCATGGAAACAGCCCTGCTGGAAGCTTCATCAAACAGCTACATGAATGAGTCATGCGTTTTTTTGGCGCGCACATGAACCCATTCTTCTGTTTCCTCGCAGAGGGTCAGTTTGGCAGAGGCTGGTGGAACATCTCGGCTCGGGCCAAACCTTATCATGCTCAGCTTCCTCTGGAGAACGGCACCGATCGTAAAGCAAACCAAAAAATAAATAAATAAATAAATAAATAAGTAAACAAAACAAGAACACACTGTGGCTGATTCACTCCTCCAAAGGGACCAGCTTGGGTTTATTAGTGTGATTTGATTCGACACGCAGCTTAATCGCAGGATGATCAGCGGAAAGAGAGATTTAAACTGAATGTCAAAGACCGAGCGAGTGCGCGTTTCAAAATGTCTCTCTACATCGCTCTGAAAAACTATTCACACCCCTTGAATTCTTTCCCATTTTGTTAGTTTACAGCCACAAACTTCAGGGCATTTCACTGCAGTTTCATGTGATAGACCAACAGGAAGTGGTGCGTAACCAAGATGTGCATGATTGAAATACTTTTCTGATTTAAAAATCTGAAAAGTGTGGCGTGTATTTGTACTCTGCCTCCCTGAGTCAGTTGGACAGATCTTTTATTGCATTTAGAGGTACAAACAAGTCTTTTGCCTTTTGTCTCTACAGACTATGCTAGAGACTGAAATTTGTGTCTCTTATCTCGGTGAAATGTCTCCAAGTCTGTCAGGAGAGGAGGAAATACAGACGTTAATTTTTAGGTAATTTAAAAATTCTCAATTGAATTTTTAGGTCTGGACTTTAACAGGGCCATTCAAGAATTGCAAAGTATTGAAATCTCCATCCATGTCATCGACTCTAATCAGCTTCCCTTGTCTCTCCTGAAGAAGAACATCCATCCCCACAGCATGACGCTGCCATCACCCAGTTTCACCAAAGAGATTATTTCATGCTGATTTTTCTTGTTAGATTTGTTTTTAACCACACAGCATTTTTGCTTGTTGGCGAAAGAGTTCACTCATGGTTTTATCCGACCTGATCGTCTTCTTTCACATTAGCTTTGTCCCCTGCTTCAGTTTTTTTTTAACTTATGTGCTTCCGAACTGGTCATCTCATGGCTTTTCTACAATAATGGCCTTTTTTCTTGCTACTGTTTTGTAAATGGCAGATTTATAAAATAAGTAGTGGTTGTCGTAGCAACAGATTCTCCTGTCTGAGTTGTGAATTTCTCCTGGTCCTCATGTTACCATTGGCCCTTGGCCTGCTTCACTGACTAACATTCTCCTTGCCTGACTGGTTAGCTCAGGTGTTGTCGTTTTTTGGGAGGTTTTACACTCTGCCACACTTTTTCCATTTTCAGATGACTGATAGAACAGTGACGTTCAGAGTTCAGCCTTCTTCCTATGCTGACTGCTGTCTTCCCTGTTCTGAGCCCTTTACAGAACAGCAGGATTTATACTGAGATAAAAAAAAAATGGGACTGTAGTTTCTATTTAGATGGTTTCTGTTTACATTTGGTTGAACTTTTTTTTTTAAATTTATTTTATTTAGAGGTAGCAGAGTAAAGTGAGGCAGCATATAACTCCCTGGCATACTTAAAAATGTTTCCTTTCCCTTCTGCCTCTAAATTATATACTACTTTGTTTCAGTCTGCCCTAAAACATCCCATTAATAGATTGTCACTTGTGTTTGTAACGAGAGAAAATGTGGAAAAACTCAAGAAATTATTTTCCAAGACATTGAAAATCAAGTGGAAGTTTATGTTGATGCTTTGCTTTCACCACAAGGGGGTGCTGATGGCAAAGTCACTTCGATGGCACCTCCTCTTAACACCACAGAAGTTTTTTTTTTTTGTTTTGTTTTTTTTCCCCAATCTCCAGAGTTTGCATCTTTTTCAGATGCCACTCAACAGACAACAGCTTTGTCTTTGATATGTTTGCATATATTCAAATATGACCAGAATGTTGCCCCATTCTGGCCTGTTTCTAAATATGTTTTCCCCCGTCGCCTGGACATTGTCAGCCTCTTGCTGCTGCTGTTGCTCTTCCATCGCCTTATGTGGAAGTGACCAGACTCTCAGGAGCTCCCTTCACAGCCATGTACAGTTTCCCTCCTTCTCTCTCCTTTTTGGTTGCCAATGTGCCTTTTGTTGTCAGTAAATAAAGCAACTGGGTAGCTTTGACCTTCTTCGTTCTTGCACGCCAGTCCTTACAAGGTGTTATTATGTTTCTTTTAGCTAAGGAGAAATCTCTCCCACAATGAAACATTACTTTTCTTGTGAATTTAATATCTGGATATTTTTTTAATTCTTACTAGGAGTGTAATAAAATCCTAAAAGCATAAATCATTGATTAAATTTGAGCTCCGAAGTCATGTTGGCTGTTCACCCCTTGCATAGCATGTTAATTGAAATCTATACTTCCCCAGTTTGAACTATTATGAGCAGTTGGGGGGCATCGGTAGAGGGTAGGAGAGGGCACTAGTATTGAACTGCAGCTTTCTGATCAGCTGACGGAGCATGGGATGTCCCGCTGCCGTCATCTGACAGGGGGGCTGGTCTCAGCACTCTTAAAGGTCAGGTTACAGACACCGAGCCGCACAACTGTCCCCGAGCCGGGCCACCGCATTGTGTTAAACTGCAAGATCAGATGAATGTGTTTACCCCCAGAAGCAGCCTGACGAAGGGACCTCACGTGATGACTGAGCGAAGCAGATGTTCCTGTGCTGAATTTACTCCGTGAGGAAGAGGGAGGGCGGGGAGACGGCCGGCCTCGGCCAATCGGCAGGGATTTTTGTGTGGACTCGCCTCCTTTTACAGCAGTGGAGCGACTTGCTATATTAGAGAGATGCCACCCACAGCTGCACCTGACAATTTACAGCGCCAGCGCCTCTGAGAGAGAAGGAGAGCCACCCTGACCCGAGCATCACTCTGGCTCTCTGGAATTTACAGCTTTCACATTCTTATCTTTTTATTTTGAATTTATGACCTGCATACCACCTCCTGCTGGGTCAGCACTTACTTTCTCATCCTCCTTCTTATTTGCTGTTGGAGAGTTTCTCTAATTAATTCCTTCAATCATCGTTTTTACTGATCTGGATTTATTCTCGGCGAACAAACAAAACAGAGCAAAAACAAAGTAAGTGGAGTGACTGTCACTCGGGGCAGTTTTGAGAGTGCGTTCCCATCGTGATGCGGATGGTCATGACCACACTGAGTCTTGAGCCAACCACCCACTGCTTTCCATGAAGCGGTTTGGCAGCCTAAGGAGGAGCAAGAAACGAAAAGAGCAGGATGGGCTAGAAGGGAGGCATCCGTCCGAGGCTTCGTGTCTGGCCGGTAACGTTCCACACTCCTCACTTGCCTATGACGGGATTTCCGGCTTTCTTAGACACTTTTTTTTTCTTGTTGTAGTGAGACTCTCATGTCATGAGAATACATTTTGCATTAAGTGTTCTTAACATTGAACATCAGGGTTGCTGTTCATTTGTTGAAGTTTTCTAAATTGACATTCAGCTTTCACCAAGTCTGCCGTTATGCTGCTGTATTTGGCATCAGTAGAACTGCTGCGGTGTAAGTCAGCAGTGAGCTACAATGTCTGAAATTTAGAAAAGACAAGAGAGTTGCAGATTGCTTAGGTAACGAATGCTGTTCATGATCACCATTACAGCGACGCACAGAGTTGAGGCACCACTGATGCAGCTAATCTTTAATTTCACACGTGCCGCCATGCATCTGCATCAGCAAACACAGTACCAGGACACGAGCTTATATGCTATGGCTATGTGCACGGTCCAGGCGGTCAGCAGTTTTTTTTTTTTTGCTGCAGAGTTCATATTAAACGCAGCTTTTGTAGTTTTTTGTATTAAATATTATAGCCAGCATTGTAGGATTTCGGTAGAACGATGCAAACTGAAATCAATTAATCCGTTTTCTAGCACCAGAGAAATGTATAGCTACTCTACTTTATGTCCCTTCAATGTCATTTTTTTTTTCTGTCCTGTTATCCGAGGGGAGTTCAGAATAGCTGCTCCACTTGGAGCACGTCACTAAAATAGAGTATAAGCTGTCACATCGAGATGAAGTAGATGTTTTTGGGTGAAGCAGCCTGCATCATGTTTTTCTTGCACATTTGGATATTTAATATTAATTTGAACGATACTTGGGGAAATAGAAGTGGTATAAATAATAATAAAAAACTGACTTAAGGACCTATTGAAATATTCTATAAATTGCAAGCCACAAAATTCCAGCCTCTGTTTTGGCAAAAGACGGGAAACTGTGACTGTTTTCCCAGCTTCAAATGGCTAAAATTGCACACAGGCATATCACATCATGTACACATGAATGTATGCTAAAATTAAAAGAATCCTGGACTTGTACCAACTTATGAGGCTCCAAAAGATTTTTAAAAACGGTGAAATTAAGAATGATCAACTCTGTTGACATTAACCTGCTTGGTTGTACAACCAGAAAGAGACTAGGCAAGTTAAACTCTGATGGAAGTTCTGCAGGGAGAAAAGTTTTGCTCTCTGAGAAAAACACAAGACCCAGACGGAAGTTTGCCAGAGAGAACATCGACAAAGTCCAGAATAAATTTCCATGGATGGATGAGTTTGAAACTTAATTACTTGGACACCAGAACAGAAATATTTGGCAGATTCCAAGTCCAGTTTTTCAGAAAAAAAAAAAAAAAACCTCCCATCATAAATCATTAAGGTGTAAGTGTCATGGTTCAGAGATGCTTTACTGCAGCAGGATCTGGTCAGCTCACCATCATAAATCCCATCATGAGGTCTTAATATGTATCAGAGGAAAAAGTGACCATCTCTGCAGCATGACAATGACTCTAGACAAGTACTAGTTAATCCACCAAGCTCTGGCTGAGAATTAAGAGATGGAAAGCCCGGGATTGGCAGAATCAAAGCCCAGATATCCACAGATATTCTGGGATTACTTGAAATGGGCTGTACAACCCCTGAAACATCTCACAGCAGAAAGTGAGGAGCAGGGAAAATGTTCCCAAGTGTCTCATTTTGGTTTTGTACAGTCAAGCCACCATCATGGAGGATGTTATAACAGGATGTCTTAACATCTTTTAGAGATTAAACAAAAAAAATATTAGACATTGATATGTAAAAAAAAATCAACAAAAAACTGAGTATCAATAGGGTGTCCCAGTTTTTTTTTTTTTTTTTTCACGTAATTATATGTGGGAAATATCACCTCCCATAGATTGTTTCCGACATCAACTGGTCTCGAATAACTCTCATAGCTTTTGAATGAAGTTTTTCTTTTATGAAGTTAATTCATTTGAAGATGTTTTTTTTTTATTTGACATTTCCAGGGAATTTGAACTGCAGTCATGAAGGAAAGAGAGGAGATGTCTTAGAATCCCTTCAGATTAATGTTTATTTAAAGAATAAACACAGAACAGTCTACTGGTCTCTTGACACGTGACACACACCCTCTTTTTTCCAGCGCTGCTGACAGAGAAATCTCTGCACAGCTGTTTAATCTGCCCTGATGGTTCGTTGTGGGGAAACGGAGTTAGTTTATCTCTCAAGGGGTTTGATGGTTTTCCACCTTGAATTGCTCCAAAGAAAAATTAGACGAAGGAGAAAAGTTCTTCGAGAGAAGAGGAACAGAGCAAACTAGACTTTGCTGGAACTTTTTCTGAGAAATATATTGCAACCAAGTCTTGACCAAGTCAGTGAGGCTGGATAAATCTGATTTGTTGAGGCTGTTTTCTGGTGTCTCACTGCCAGTGCCATTAATTAGCAGTATTGTAGAGGTCATCTCATCAGAATGTAATCAGACTGTGGAGTTTCATGAATGTGTTTTCACAGAATTATTACTCAGTCAAGGCCAAAATCCAGCCTACTTTTGCGAATCCTGTTTACCTTTCAGAGAAGAAGCAGTTCCAAGTCAAAAGATAACAGTATCTTTCTGGCAGAAGCCAGAAGTCTAATTCAAGGTGTCAGGATGCACAGCAGTTCTACAAAGCAGAACCAAAGAATGCTCTCATTTCAAAAGCTTACTGTGCTCTCAATTAGTAGATGATTCACGTTAGGAAATCTTGACATGCATCTAATTAAACATTTATCACAGTGGCTACAATGTCATGCACACTGCGTGGTTTAACAAACACAGTAACGTTATCTGTGGAATAAAAGATTTTTTTCAGCTCAATCCAATGTCACGATCAACGTCGTCTTTATGAGACCTGGTCAGAGCATTAAATCTGCAAAAGTTCACATTTTGATACGGCAAACATTCAGCAGTGAACCGTACAAGGATTTTTCCTGGATTACTTAATTAAAGGAAAACAAAACGTTTGTCCGTCGTGACCTGTTGTTCTAATATCACAGAATCTGACACAGCTGCAGATTACTTTAACGTAATCTTTAACCGTGGAGCAGCTGTGCAGAAAGTCAGAAAAGCCTCCCTTATTTTGAGAGACTAGTTTCTTGCTTTATTTTGGCTCAGCCAGGAGGAGAGGGGCACAGAATCCACATTGCTTAAAGTCCAGTGAGAAGTTTGGACAGTCTACGATGGTTTGGGACGCCATGCCAACTGCTGGTGTTGGTCCACTGTGTTTTCTGAAGCCTGCAGTCAATGCAGCTGTCTACTAGGAAATTCTAGAGAACTTGACGCTTTCCATCTGATGACAAGCCACAAGTAGTTGGTAATTTTATTTTCCAGCAAGATTTGTTGCCTGTCCACACTGCCAAAGGTACCAGAAACTGGTTCAATGGCCAGCGTGTTGCTGTTCTTGATTGGCCAGCAAAATATAGCATAGAAGATCTATAGGCAGTTATCATTAGGAAGATGAGAGACAGGAGAGCCAGTAAAGCAGATGACCTGAAGGCACCTGTCAAAGCAATCTGGGCTTTCTCTACACCTTTGCAGTGCTGATTTCCTCTATGCCATGATGCATTGATGCAGTAATTTTCACAAGATGAGGCCCAATTAAGCATTGTGTGATTGGAAATGTACGTATGCATTTCAGAAGCCTGAGATTTGTGCTTAAAGCATCCATTTCTGATTGGTCTAATGTGATGTTGTGGTTTACTGAGATTCAAAATTTTGGGTTTTCTTTACCTGTAAGCCATAATCATTAAAATAGCAAAAAATAAAACCTTTAAATTTTGTACTCTGTGTAATGAATCTCGGCTTCTTGACTCGACGCCATTTCAGTCCTTTGGTCCAGAGCCTAGCCACTGCAGAATCAAAAACCACATTCCTCCTATTGTTAGACAGCATCCTTTGGGATTTCATCTTCTGCATGTGAAAATTAATCGTGGCCTATCAGAAAACGTCTTGGTACTTCTTAGTAATACTGTTTTGGCTTTTTAGGTGATTATTAAACATCTGGTTATGATACTGTTTTTATATTTCTGTTTATTCTCATACGGGGAAGAGACTTAGTGTAGCTGACGTACATTGCAACATTGCTGCAGAAGTTTGCTCACTGAGTGACAAATCAATGTCTGAAGCTTTAGTTGCCTCAGTCCTGGACTGAATTCAGATGGTAAGTTTCATATTGCTCCAAGAGTCAGTCCTGTTCAAGGGCTGAGAGGATCCGCTTTTATAGGTGTTACACTAACACGTCGCTGCTTTAGAACGTGTTAATACAGCCTGGGTACAGACCAATGCAAAACTGCAACCAAGTTGGATTTTGTGATTTTAATTTGGAGCTGCTAATGACTTTAAGGCAATAACATTCACTAATAGTTTTGTTCCGCGATAATTTGCTTTTTCGATTGCAATTTTTGTACTGTTTATTGTCAAAATAGCTCAGGAATATTATTTTGTAAGAAAATGATTTGAGAAATGTTCCTATTTGATTTGCTTCACTAGGAAAATAATTGTGGGAGAACAGTAAATTGCTACCAGAATGATTATAATCTCATTTTATGACTTTTTCTAGTCCGACTAAGCATCCAAACATTGTTGTTTTTTTCCCCCTCATTAAAATAATCAACTTTCCATATGTTTGAGAAGCTGAAATAATGTGCTCATCTGTATTAGGTATACCTTGCTGTTAGTTTTCACTAACAGCCAACGTTAAAGCACAACACCTCGGTTTGATGTTTTTATTTTTCAACCTTAAAAATCATTGTCGGGTCTTCTTTTGTTTTTCTATACAGTTGGTTGCGTCAGAATTGATCTCCTCTTTGGTAACTCTAAAGTTAAATTAGATGATTGTTTGCTTTGGATCAGGATGAATTCTTTGCAGCAACGCATCCATGTCCCATTTCCCGGCTGGTGCCTAACTGTCCTCTATTACCCAGACAGATGAGAGGGCTCGCAGGCCCGCTGTTATCTGCTCCTGTGGAATGTGCCTCAGCAGCGTGGCTAAAAAAAGACAGCTGCACAGCGGAAGCTGGGCACACCAAAGAGGCCTGCTGAGCGCCAACTAAATGTCAAGAGATAGTGTTAAAGGGGGAAATAATCAGGGTCTGCTTTGACTAAAATGTTTCACGACTTAATACTGTTATGTTTGTGTCTAAACATTATTTTAAACCGCTCTCTTTTGCGTTACAGAAACATGAGATGTTGCCTGAACTCACTAATATTCAAGTGTTTAAAGCGTTTATATCTGTCATAATAAAAAAAAAGAAAACTAAACTCCCCTTCTTCGGCTTTTCTCATTCCTTCAAAATTCAGGGTGAAGAGATTGTAATGTGAACCATGTAGCCCACGTCGTAGCTTATTGTCAGGTCTCAGAAATATGTCACGGGGGAGCACCCGTAGCAACATGAGGGTCGCATGTCGCCCCACGCAAGCTTGCCAGGCCTGACGTGAAAGAGCATGCAGGCTGTCATGTGATAAACGAACCCCAGTCTGACGAAGCCGCTGCGTCACAGACAGCTGATCGTTACATGGGAATTTAAAGTCGCTCTCTCAACAACAGGAGGCGGGATCTCCCTCGGTAGTGATTTATGCTCAGTTAATCTATTATTCATCACTTTTTTTTTCTTGTTTTTTTTACAGCACTCGCTTGCATTTGTTTATGAGCTGACCTTTGAGCTCCCTAAAGCAGATTTTTCATGAAAACAATCAGGAGGATGCAGGTTTCAACAGCTGCTAGTACACTGTAGTGTTGATGGCTTAAAGAAAAAGATTGCAGGTAATCAGTTAGCTAATGCACATTATAAACCTTTTATTACTGCTGAAATCATTCAGACAACAGTTATAGTTGTAGCACAATGTTATTTATCAAACAGAAAAGAATTTCAGTATTGTTAAAATTAGTGGTGTTTAAAATAGAAAGTTAATATTGACCCAGATCTGTCATCCAAAGCTGTATTGAAACTGTTTTTAAAAAGACAGAAATATTTTTATTTCACAATGTCTGAGTTCTGCTGATTTGGATTGAGGTATGAAAAATCAGCTGTGGATACATGGTGACTCAGGAGAAAAAGGTATATAAAGGAGATCCTAAAAGCCTTGGGGAAGTAAAAGGTTTTACTAAAAACTAAATAAAATAATAATTTAACATTTGTTTTAAGCAGATATGTTGACCAAAGTAGAGATTAAGATTGTTCAGAGTTAACGTTTATGTCAAATTTATTGGTTCTGTAAGAAATAAACAAAACTTAATCAGACCAGTTGTCAAATATTGCAGAGAAAGAAAATACACCAATAGTGCCAACTTGTGGTCAAGTTGAGATTTTATGACTTGCCTTTGCAAAAGATTGTGAGGTTAGCTTTATTTATAAAACATACACTCATTTTTACCCAAGTTCATTCTGAGTTGGTAGCACTGTCACCTTGTAGCAAGTTGTGGGTTCAACTCCCTGGGTCTTTCTGCATGGAGTTTGCTTGTTCTCCCTGTGCATGCGTGGGTACTCCGGATTCCTCCCACAGTCCAAAAACATTCAGCTGCCAAGCTGGAACATTCAGCCTGTTGCAGTGGTATGGTTTTAGGCTTACTGTTTATTTTGCAATTATTAATAAGTGATTGCTGTGGTACGAGGAGAAAACTATAAATATATCGCTGTGCTTGACGTTACTGTATTGCTAGCTCGCTGTTACTGTCTCTTGCTCTGCAGTTGTGGAGTCACAATGTCTGGGATTATGAGCGCCCCCAGCCATGAGGCAAGAGAACTGCCTGCCTCACCTCAAGTCTGTTCTCTGCCATTTCTGATCGCTCCTCAGCACACGAAACACGATACACACACAGTTTGTGACAAAATAAAGCACTGTACATTATATACACATAAGCTAAATTATGGAAAATCAGTTCATATGTTAAATGTTTTTTAACCATTTTATTGGCGACGTTCAGACAGGAGGAACTTGCTCTCATCGAGTGGCAGCCGGCGCAGTTAGCGAGAGGTTGCGCAGTCAAAGGTGAGGCTCAGCTCGCTGCTGCCTCACCGGATTCGCTTCCGAGCATTTGAATGGGAAAATGAGAAAATTCAGCGATTTTTGAAGAAAAAAATAATCAGAATTGGTTAAGCTAAATAAAAAAATAAATACTTTAACCACAGGGTTAAAATACTTTAACCACAGGGTTAAAATAGCAATATACATTCTTTTTTCATTATATTTTTCCATTATGACAGGTGAGGCTCTGCCTCCCCTGACCGCAAGTCACTGGTGCAGAAATAACCTGGTGGGCCGGTCTGTCAGTCAAACCTCTCTCAAAGCAGAAGAGGAGAGTGGTTTATTTCAGACCTTTGCTGAGGTAGATAAGATTGGTGGATAACATCGGCTTCACATGCAAGTATCGGCCGATCACCGAGCTCCCAAAATTGAGGTAAATCAGCTAGTCGATAAATCGGTGCAGTCCTGCTTAGGTATGTTATTTAGATAATTGATAGCCTCCCTGGTCATAACGGCAGCACCTCTGTGATGCATGTCTACATTGTCAGCCAGCTTTGCTTAAAGAAAAAAAAAATGGGTACAAATGTAAAGAAAGAAAAGATAAGATGACTTATCTGTCGTGAACCTTATCGCTCTCTCTCTCTCTCTCTCTCTGCAGCTTCTGGGCTTTCCACACCTCCCACCACTCCGACCCAGGCATTGAACCAGCCTGTGTTCAGCCAGGAGGCCCAGCAGCAAAGCGGCCCCAGCCCAGAACGCCTGGAGCCCAGTACCCGAGCCCACTCCCTGTCCGCTCCCCCGGACACAGGACAGCGCCTCAGCCTTCCCCACACCAAACCCCCGATCCCATCAACCAGCCCTGTGCCACCCATCTCTACCTCACAACATGTGAGTTATGCTAATGTAAAATGAATACTTCACAAAGTCCGTCTTTTATCTGTTTTATGAAGCAGAATTATTTTGCAATTATCTGTGACACCCAAAGGCCAAAACTAAAATCAAATGCCAAGGTCTCTTTTGCAAGTTTTGGAGAAAGCAGCGTGAGATAAATGCAGTAATTATCCTGCATGGGTCATGGGATGTTTACTCTAACAGTTTTCCCTTTTGGATACACAACAGCAGCCTTAAATGCTTCCTGTCTATGACTCATGCGCTTCTTTCCTCAGACTCATAAAAGTTTATTTGGACAGTGGTGGCAGTGAAAAACACCAATGCAAATCTCAAGCTCTGTTACTTGGGAGCAGTTCAAGTGACAAATATCTGTTGACAAACAGGACACCTTGTGACTATTTGTCATGGCATGACAAACAGTCATGAGATGTTCCTCATACAGTTTTTCCCCTAGCTATGAAGGGGACGCAGTATACCTGTGGTAGAAGGTGCTTTGCTCAAATGAGCAAAACTAATGCCATACATTACCCTGAACACATCAACCTTATGCTGGCACATGGTGGTGGCAGCTTCATGCTGTGGGCACACCTTTCTTCAGCAGTCTAATGTGTTAGACTGGCTGAAAGTACATATTCAGAGATACTCTACATTAAATCTATTTCACAAAGAATTGGTAGAAACATAACCCAAAGGTTGCTGCGGTTGTAATTCTTGCAAAAGGTGATTCTGTTCAGGGTTTGCTGAGTACAGATGCGTCCCAGACTTTTTTTAATTTTTATTTTTGCATTTATTGGAACACTTTGGGTTTTTCTATGTCATAAAACTGATGACATGTTGTCAAAACTACATGTTGCAGTGTGACTATACATTGTGAAAACGTCCAAGGCTTTAAAACGGTTTCAATGTGCTCTCTTCTCTTCTCAGACTGAGTTAGCTTTAAGGTGTAATAAGATTCTGGCAGTCTTGACAGAGTATTTCATGTCTTATCTCCTTTGGCTAAAGAGGAATTACTGATGACTCTCGTGGTTTTAGAATAAATAATTATCTAAAAAGCTGTCTGAACCCATCCGCCTGCAGTGATGGTGGATTCCAGCCAACCAAGGTGAATCAATATTTAACTATTAACGCCTGAAGACTTGTGGTTCCTCTCTGCCGCCTCAAAAAAAAAAAAAAATCATAATGTTATGTTATAATTCACCTTTCGCCATTTTCCATTTTAAGTGCAAATCGCTGAATGGGTGTGTGCCTCCCAGAGGCTTGCCGTAGTATAAAGCAGGCCACATGCCTGGCGTGGTGCAGCAGGATCTGATTTATGAGAGTGCAGGGGGAGATTTTGGCTGGAGAAGTGCCGTGTCATCATTACAAAGCCCCGCGGGGGGGACTGGGGGGAACCCCAAAACAGGGGTGGAAGACCCCCCCCCCCCCCCTCTGCTGCAGAGGGTTGTTGTGAAAGTGCTTGGCAACACATAGGGCGGAAAAACGTGCATTAACAAGCAGACTTTGCATATGCTAATCTCGCAGCATGACGCAGCGTATATCCAGCTGGGACCTGGAAGAGATCTAATTAACCCACTTTGTGTTACATGATGTCATAGCTGTGCTATCGGGAAGATGTTTCGTAGATCTAGGTCGTGTTTGTTTCAAGTAATGAACGTTTGACGAGGCATCCCCAGCTTCTTGCTGCTAGGCAACGGGAAGGATTTCCTAATATGGCGAGGCAGTCAGGTTGTCCTGCGTGGAGGGGCGTGTCGTCAGAGCGCGGAGCTTCCTGCTTTTTCCACCCGACTCGTCCTTCGCTCATTTCCATTTGGTGAGCTCCCTGTGACTTTTTACGCGTTGGACGACGTCTAAAGATGGTTTGTTGTGTCGGGGTTTAATTTACACACGTCTCTGTGAACAGTAGCGGCCCCCGCGCACCCGCTCCCCGCTGCACCAAATAGATCAGGACCGATCCACTGTGTGTTGTTCAAGAGGGGGTGTGTACGCTCAAAATATTATGCGCCGCTGAAAATGTGTATTTTTTGACAGGTTGTCTGCTTGTATTTAGCACACTTGGGGAGTATCTTTGAGGCAATAGACGCCGCTCAGCTGTCTTACTCTTGCTGGGAGTTTTTTTTTTTTTTTTTTTTTTTTTCCTCAATCGGTTTGATCTACTGTAAGCTGCAGGGAGGAAGAGCCAGCCTGCTGCTCACTACCAATTTACTGCAAAGTTTTTCTGGCTGTGCACTGACCCGCTGCCGCGCTCCTCACTCCCAACTTCTTGCCTGTTTTCTCCCACAGGTCTACGGCTTATTCGAAGGTATGCTGGAGAAACTTGAACTAGATGATGATGGTGAGTGTCCCGCTGAGCCTGCGCTGCTCGTCACCACTTTAACGCCGTAAATCTTTGCTTTAACGCGGTGCGAAAGTGTTGGGATCTAGCAGGTATTGCAGTTGTTTCCAGTTTCATGTGTTGGCCCAGGCTAAAAAGGGAAGGGTCTCAACGCACATAATATTGTAAATCGTCTTTTCAGAATTGTTTACAAAATGTATTTTGCACTGTATGTTGAAGTTTTGACGACCAGTGCTATTTTATGTGCAAATTTAGACTTAAAATACAAACACATTTGAGTAAAGGAAAAAAAACAAAAAAACATGGGGTTCAATTACAAGATTTTACAAAACCCACATGGAAATAACACCAAGTTTGTCCTTGTGTGTGCCAATGACATCACAAGAGGAAGAATTAAGATCAGCTGGTGTTGGTAAACACTAAAGCGGATGAATGACTGGACTTATTTCCACATAGGTTCTGAATCATTTGAGTTGCAAGGTGTTATGTTAACCTTGCAGATATGAGTCATGGCTTGGTGGGTTAGAAGATTTGACAGGACAAGGGCAATGCATGCAGTTTGAACAATTACGTATTTAGCTTTCACAAACTTAAGACACATTCAATAAATTAGAAGACTATTGAAAAGTCTTTTGTTTTTAGGATCTTTATCACTGAGTGAAACACTTTTATATAGATGAATTAAACACCAAATGTTTGAAAGCCTTTATTTCTGTAAAGTCATGCAGTTCTGCATCAAGCCTGGCCATTTCTGTCTCCTCTAGTCTTCCCTAGCAACGTCAGATTTTTCTAACATCCATGCAGGATTCTCACATCATATGGCTAAAGCCTTTAGCTGCATTCATACAGAATACAAGTAATCTCCTAAAAATGAAGAGTTTGATATAAAAACAAGAAAAATGCAAATGTACACACAAAAAATTATGCTAATAAGTTGCTATATGCCTTATTATGTCACAATAAATAAGTGCAGGTGTGTGTAAGCTTATTTTTCAGGTGATATATTTAACTTGATATACAACAAAAGTAGCAAAAGAAGGAGAAACCCAGCTGTAATACATTCTACATACGACCACCAAGTTATATCTACAGTTTTGTTACATAAAAAGCATGGCTAGTACAATTTTTAAAATGGATTTTAAGTACTGTAAAATACAAGGAAAAGAAGGTAAAAAAAAACAACAACAAAAAAACACGAATGTATAGTGAACTGAAGTAATACAAATAAGGGAGTGTATTTTAGGACTGCTTGCATTAAAAAAAAAAATTATGAAATAGGAAAGTCTTAACTTTGATTAAAAAATGTCCTACAATCTCATAAAGTGGAAAAAACATCTGTCATTCGTTCACTTTAGTACCTTTATGTGAGATCATCAAATATTGAAAAACAATTTAAATGTTGCTCGCTCTCACTGTTAAGACTTTGAGACCACAAGGACTTTTTCTTCCCAAGATTTTCCACTGTTTGTTTGTTGACGTTTAAAGCAGTGGGTAATTATCAGTAAGCTGGAGCAGGGAAGTGGCCATAAGTGGTCCGTTTTGCTTGTAATGGCTGTTTAGGCTGTTTTGCGTGTGCGTGTGTACTTGTGTGTGTGCGTGCGTTGTTTCCAAGCTGTCATTACGCATTCCTCAGGAGATTTTACCTTACTTACAAAGTATTTTTCTTTCAGCTGCTGAACCCGAGAATGATATTTACATGCGCTTTATGAAATCCCACAAGTGCTACGACATCGTCCCCACAAGCTCCAAGCTGGTCGTGTTTGACACGGCGCTTCAAGTTAGTACATTTTTCTCCCGACTTGAAATGTGTCCTGTAAACCCCATAAATACCAGTTTTGTTTCTGTTGCTTTGAAGTTTTCATCTTGGGAATAGAAACAGACTTCCGGGTTTAGTTAATGAACAACAAAAAGCAATGAGTTTACCTTAAGGCAATTTCTGTGAAATGTTTCGCTGTATTGCCTTGAAGCTGTTAAACAGTAATCCAAGGAGAGTAGGACCTCGTTGACTTGTCGATCTTTAACCGCTGAGAGTTGAGATTGTCTATCTGAAGGTGTTGGAAGATCAACCCAAAGACATAAAAAACGCAAGACCAAGAGCTATGTTTCAGCCCCAAGTTTTTGACTATTTATTTTACCATTTAGTTTTTTGTTTTTATAATTAATTTTGTCATGATGCACTCACATTTTTACATTAAACATTTATTATATCGGACAGTTGCTCTTTTTACTTTAATAACAGAATGAGTAGATAAGTCTTCGGTTAGTTTGTTTTCCTGAAATTGGCCGGAAAATCCTGAATGTCCGTGCACAAGTTGGTGACTCAAGCGTACTTGGGTTGTGAAGCAGAGCAATGATCCATTGCAGACCAGCAAGTCCATTTCTAGGTGGCTCAACTTAAGGGTTTGTAGTGACGTATTCAAAATCTGGACTTGATATGTTCAAAAATCTTCCACTATGTCTCAAGTAAAGCAATTCTGAAAAGAAAACTGAGCCAGGATTCCTCCAGAAAGACACAACAGACTCAATCAATGCCAGCACTCTGAGCACTTGGTTGAAGTTGCTGATGTTAAGGGTGGAAGAATCATTGTTTGTTGTTTTTAGTGAGCAGATTCTTTTTCAAATGGGGCCAGACGGGTTTGGAAAAGAAGAATTATGATCCCTCACAAACTAAAATGATTCTGAACAACCTCCTCTTTTTAAATGACATTTAGTCACATAACCAAATCTTCTAGCTGGAAGGAGATTAAACCAAATTGCTTTAAATCAATTAGGCTCAACCTGAAAACAGGTTCTTTTCATACTTGAAACTAATAAAATGACAAATAGATGAAGTGACCAGCATGTGACGTAATGTGACGTATGTGTGGTTGGCAATGTGGTTTTTTTATTTATTAGATAATTAATCTTTATTTTTTTCTTGGCAGGTTAAGAAGGCATTCTTTGCCTTGGTGGCTAACGGTGTGCGAGCTGCTCCTCTGTGGGACACAGAGAAGCAAAGCTTTGTGGGTAAGTACAATGAAATGTGTCAACAGACTCGCATTAAAACGTGTTTAAATGATTTCGTGTATTGAATTAAATTAGAAAATCCGTCAACGGATACAGTGTGTTTAGCTCTCTTAGTTTGTTGGATGAAGACAGTAGAGTGCAATATTTAAATGTAAAGGAAAGATGGTTTTATGCCTTTAGGTCTATATTTTATTTAAGCCTCATTGTGATCTCTTAATTATTTCCTTTGACTGAGACGGAAAATGTCATTGCTGTTCTGGTTTTCCATAAATAAACAACGAGGCTGCGCTGTGTGTTAGCAGTCATGGCTGGCAGAGCGTGTCTCCTTATCGAGTAGAGAACATTAAAGCCATCCCAAGCTATTAAAGCGCAAGAGATGACTCATTTATATCGAGTGTAGAAATGTCAAAGAAGCATCTTTGTCTGTTGTCCGTAGTCGAAAGAGGAGCCAGTTGTGAATTGAGTTTGAGCTCTGCTGCCTGTGATGAATAATGAATGTCAAGTCAATGTGAGAATAAAGCAAAAAGGGGAACCAGATCTGTGCTTGAACAAACCACGCCCTCCTTCCAGCTGCTTGATGCCTGCAGGCATTCCTCTGAGGTGTTTATTGACTTGATCTGTTTTCGCTGCAGGAATGCTGACAATCACAGATTTCATCATCATACTGCACAGATACTACAAGTCACCGATGGTGAGTTTAATCAGCATATATTTTAAATATTACTTTTTGGTTACTTTTTTTTCCCCTAAAACTGAGGTTGTTTTGTTTTTGTCTTGTTTTTTTTTTTGTTTTGTTTTTTTAGGTGCAAATTTATGAGTTAGAGGAACACAAACTTGAAACATGGAGAGGCAAGTATCTCCAAGTGTTGACGCACGCTTACAGTAGTAATCTTCTGATCTTTGTGGGGTTTAATAATCCAATGTTTGCCTTGTTCTCTCCTCTCAGAGGTTTATCTTCAAGCAACGTTTAAACCTCTTGTGAACATATCACCGGATGCAAGGTTTTCTAAAATCCTGCTAAACTTCACACATTGTTTTTATTCTGCACCTCTTGATTGTTGCTCTCATGACGCGTTTCTTTGTTTTCCGCTTTTGCAGTCTGTTTGATGCAGTGTACACCCTCATCAAAAATAAAATTCACCGCCTGCCTGTCATCGACCCTGTTACAGGGAATGCACTTTATATTCTCACGCACAAGAGGATCCTAAAGTTCCTCCAGCTGTTTGTGAGTTCAGAAATTTTCTCGGTCATCGCATTCTGTTTAGATGAATTTTAATCTGTAAGGCCTAATTAGATGAAATGTAAACGTTCAACTTTTTCCTCATTTTCATATGCCTGGCTCCCCCATGTGGTGAATGTGGGAATTGATCAAAAGTCTTTGGATTCGTCCTGGCATATTAGTTATTCCTTAAAAAGAGACCTCCCTATTTCTCTCTCTCTTTATAGATATAGTATAAAACATGTATCAATGCCTTTTACAACGCAGTAAAGTGACTTTTCAAGAAACTAAATTTTTGAGGTGTGTGTTTAAAATTCCCAGGTGTGTGAAATGCCAAAGCCAGCGTTCATGAAGCAGACCCTAGGTGAGCTCGGCATCGGGACGTACCATGAAATCGCTTTCATCCACCCAGACACGCCTATCATTAAAGCCCTCAACATCTTCGTGGAGAGACGGGTGTCTGCTCTGCCTGTGGTGGATGACTCGGGTAAAACCACAATGAACCATCACAAAATAATCCCTTTAATAATTCAAGATTTTACCTTAATTTTGATTTTGTTTTGGGGGTTTTTTTGTCTTGCAGGCAAAGTTGTGGATATTTATTCCAAGTTCGATGTGATTGTAAGTTTACACACTTTGTTTTTTGAAGAAACGCATAGTTCTCCATGCTGACCCGCGCCGTAATTGTGTCTGCGTGCAGAACTTGGCCGCAGAGAAGACGTACAATAACTTGGACATCACAGTGACGCAGGCTCTGAAACATCGCTCGCAGTACTTCGAAGGAGTTGTGAAGTGCCACAAAATGGAAACAATGGAGACCATTGTGGACAGAATAGTCAAAGCAGAAGTGAGACACAAAGACCCGTTTGTGCATTTAGCCACTCAGGAACACCTCGATGACTGGTTTCAGCTGCATCTCTCGTGTTTGTTCCAGGTTCATCGGCTGGTGGTGGTTGATGAGCGCTCCAACATCGAGGGCATCATTTCCCTTTCAGACATCCTCCAGGCACTGGTGCTCAGCCCAGCAGGTATAGACGCTCAGCATTGGTAGCCCTAATCCCTCCCCCCCCTTCTCTCTCATTGTCCCGGACCCTGAGCTTCCCCCTACCCACCAATCCTCTAACCCTGCCCCAGGTAGGAATAGCACCCGTTTGCCTCGTGGCTGATCGTAGCCCACAGAAGGCATGGTGTTTGTCCACTTTCTGCTTGTCCTGCTGGATCATGCTTTCTGCACCAGTGCTTGTTTACACAGAAATCAACTTTCTGCACTTTACTAAAACATACAGTAGGAAAGAGCTCTGCTAGTTTTTCACCTGGTAAATAACTATTCCTCGCGTTTAAAATTCAGCTCCTGGAGGTTTTGGCTTGTACTGTCCATGGCTGCGTTTTGTTTATCGCAGACGGCTCTTTGATGCGAAGCATGTTTGGTATTGATGTGCTTGGGTAGAAAATAACAAGCTAGCTGAGTTTTAACCAGCTCTACAGGGCAGCTCTGGGTCTGGGCCTTAAACCCCCAGCAGATCAGAATTGGTGGGATGCACTTCGATGAAAACGTACACACAGGCACTCATTAATTCATAAATTCGACACAGTATCCATCGACTGTTCTTACAACCTACTGCAGCGTTTGGGCCTCCACTAAGGGTGAAAGGTTTGGTGTAATCAGACCTAATGCACAGTGTTATTGCTGACCTTTTAAATGTATTTATATGTTTAATCTGTTATGGTTGTGTTTTTAAAATTTTACTCTTCTATAAACGTTTTCTTATCTTGGGTTTAGTGGGAACATATCGAGTCTTTCATTGTTGTTTGGATTTTAGTTTCCATACACCAGAAATTTGGGAAACCTCTATGTCCCTTTCTGACATATTTTTTTTTAGGAACCATGGTAGTTTTCAGAATCCATTTTAAAGCCCACTTCCCAAATCTGTCCTTACAACGCATCTGCTGCAGTTAAAGACTGACTAGGTTGGCTGAAAACAGCCCCAGGGTGGTAATGTTTATTGCCCTGAAGCTTTAGGATGGAGTTTTTTTGAAGGAGGGTTGTAACATTTCTGTTTGGTAGCTTTTTTTTTTTTTGCTGTTTCTCCTACCCCAATTTAACCCCATCTACAGTTTTATATATTCTTTTGACTTTTAACTTCAACATATTTTAAATGAGATGTCTGCTTTTGGTCGTCTCGGCAGCCAGAGGCCAAGCAATATAATATCGCTACCTTGTTAGAATATCTTAGCAAATTTATCTTCCAAAGCACAAAAAGAAAATTATAATCCTTCAGGAATGTGCAGAATGAATATAAAAATAACGTGATGCAGTTTCCCAGAGTAACAGATGTGAAAGAATCAGAAGTCTCGGCTGTAGACGTCCAGGTTTTTATCCCGATCTGAGCTTCAATTCTGCTCAGATCGGGATTCCTGACAAATCTGTCAGAAAATTCATGAAATGCATAAACCAGTGAGAGCTTGGAGTGACATCACCCAAGTTATAGAAGTTTATAGTCTTATTGCTGAAAATCAAAGGCTTTTATTATCATGTTGGCGACACACAAACTGCAACACTCTTGCTAGATATTGGCTGCATAGCAGTAACACTTGTAGTCGAGGCCTAATTTACTCCAACCCAGGGGGTTGGAGGGTTAAGGTGTTCTGGGTGATAAAGTTCCAGCTGATAAAAGTCAGGGTCGCGTAACTCAATCATGTCTTCTCTCCACAAAGGTCTAGTTTTGCAGAACCCCACCCTGTTTATCTGTGCAGAAACATGTTGCCCAAACAAAACATAGGGACCAAGCAAGGACTTTCCCCAAAAACACCACGAAGAACAAAAAGCTTATTCCAGTTTCAAAATTTCAAAATGTCTTCGGCATCCAGATGGTGTTCTGAGAGAAGTCAGACCACCAAGTGTAAAATCTAATCCATAGCACATCTGTCAGCCACCGTTGCGACAATGTTACTCTAGTGGTTTTTATGTTTTGCCTGACTGGTGTGTCTAACATTTAAATGCATAATAGCTTTGACATCCTGTTGCACAATTCCTACTCGGCTCTTAATTTGTGAAAACAAGTTGTAGCTGTTTACAACAGGATGCCTGGTGCAGTGACTGACTTTACTCTGCTGTTGTCATTGCAGATGCCTGTAAGGAGGAGAATCTTACTGAATGAGTTTGTGGTGCATCAGCTTTTGTAATAGAAGTGAGTGAACTTACGGTTTAAGGTTTGATCGTGCGAAGCCGGTGTGGAAGTCCTGGAGACCATCACCATCAGCGGGGGTGTAGCGGCTCTGAAAGGCCTGATGCAGCTGAGTGAAGTGGATTTTTTTTTTTTTTTTTTTTTTTTTTTTTTCCATGAAGAATAGGTTTTCTTTTCTTTTTTCCCTTTTTTTTAAATAATAAAA